AAGACCCTGCTAGCAGTTCCTTGGGTATATACCCAGAAGTGGAATTGCTTAATCATACGCTAATTCTATTTTAATTTTTTAAATTGTTTTTCATTATAGTTGCACCATTTTACATGCCTACTAATATGACACAGGGTTTCCAATTTTTCCAACATATATTATTTTCTGTTAAGAAAAGAAGTACTTTTAATCAAACAAAAATGACAGGCAGATTTGAGAAAGAACCAACTAAAGCTCTTAGAAATAAAACCTGTAGTTATTAAAATGAAAAACTGAGTGTTTGGGGTAAATAGCATTTAAGACACAGATCAAGAGAGAATTAATGAACTAGAAGATAGATTGAGGAAGTTACTAAGTTTGCAGCAGAAGAAGATAGAGAGGTAAAAAACATGAAAACAAGGCTAAGAACCGTGGAGGCTAGAATCCACGTAGGACCCCAGACGGGGAGTGAACTGTTGATTTGACTTGACCTATTCTGGTTTTGGAATTTGCAACCTCATAAGGATTTTGGGAGGATCAACTGTGGCGATCTGTGAAAATGTGTTGAAATGCTATAAAGTATTACACAAATGCAAGGGAGTGGAATTTTCTAGAAAATACTTTTTAAACTAATGAAAACAATGTCTCTTCTGATTTAGAATCTGTACCAAAAGCAAGGATATGAAAATCCTCATTCTATTATTCATTTAAACTTTATCTTAAGGGACATAAAAAATAGATTTGTAATCCATCCTTTTATTGTTGACTGTTGTCATTTGAATGCACATGGTAAATTTGTAGATCTGGGAGACAATAAAGCAGTGAAGATTATGTGAATCCTTTTAATGGAGTTATTTGTTATGTGATAAATAATAACTATACATCAGTTTCATTGCAACCCAAATACTCTTAAATATTGACATCTCAAAGTGATAATCCATTTGTAGCTGATATCTTTCTTTCATGGAGGAAAACATCAGAAAAGTAAGTTGAAATAAGATACTCCCCAAAGAGAGGCTATTTTAGTGAGCAGAAAACCAAAGAAAAATAGTCCATCTCTATGGATGTAACTTATGATAGGCCAGTGCAGGCAGGAAATGCTGACTAGCAGTGAAGTGAGAGATCACTCCCATGTTCCTGGCACTTCCCAGTTTAGGCAGAATTTAATTGCTTAATACTCTGAATGCCATTGATGAATATTCTGGTTAGGGCGCTTTTTCAGAAGTGCTGATCCATTGTCAGCTTTATGAACTACATTGCCTGTTGTGTTCAGATAGAGGTTGTTTTGCTTGAAGAGCAGCTGTGTGTACATTTCAGGAACATTTCCATCTAGCATGGGAATTAGGTGTCTGGAGCAGGGCACAGAAAAGCCAGCCAGCCTAGGGTCGGATAAATAGGAAAAATGTGGCCAAACCATCTTTTTGAGATTCGCTAACATTGCTGTTTAGATTTTTGCCTAGTAGTGCATTATTCAGGTTAACATCATCTCAAAAGAAGTGCCTTGCTTACGTCACCATACTTCACCACTTTGTTTTGTTTGTTTTTATTGTTGATGGAGCAATAGGCAATATGTGTGCTTTGTTATCGACTGGTTGTCACTGAATTGTTTCAGAAGTGATGATTTATTTTAATGAGTGATACCCAGGTAAAGAGAAATAGATGTGGAATTGGTTGCAGAGAGTTGGGGAAATAATGAAAAGAGTGAAGACAGTATGGACAATATATATATTTTTCTGCTATATTGTGGGTTGACTTTGAGTAATCTGGATTCCTAACATCATATATTTATTACTTTGTGATTATATTTACTGACTTCTGAATTTAAATAAAATCCCCAAACAAAATAAGTGTAGTAAAAATGAAAAGATAGTTTGATGACAAATACTTACACTAAATTCCTGAGTGACTTTTCTGCTATCAACAGCCATTTCATTTTGATATTTGACATTGGGAAGCATCTGACATTCATTCTATTTCTTTTCTTAAAGTATAGTTGGTATACAATATTATATTAGTTTCAGGTATATAACATAGTGATTCAGCATTTATATATCTTATGTTGTGATCACCACAGTAGTAACCACACATCTGTCACCATCCACAGTTATCACACTATTATTAACCCTTCACCTTTTTCACCTGTTCCTACAATGCTCTTCCCTTTGGCAGCCATCAGTTTGTTCTGTGTTTCTGTGAGTTTGTTTTGTTTGGTTTGACTTTAAAACAAATTCGACATATAAGTGAGATCATATGGTATTTGTCTTTCTCTGTCTGACTTACTTCACTTAGCACAATACTCCCTAGGTCCATCCATGTTGTTACAAATGGCAGGATATCATTCTTTCTTATGGCTGAGTAATATTCCATTGTGTATATATACCACATCTTCTCCATTCATCTATCAGTGGACACCTCGGTTGCTTCCATAACTTGCCTATTGTAAATAATGCTGCAGTGAACATTCATTTTGTTTTTTTATCTTTCCCTGTAAATGATGGAAAGGCAGAGGGTCAGTATATGGTGTTTCTGCCCTTCCCTCTGGGATAAGCCTTCATTCTAATGGCACAATAGAAGTACTGCATTGAATACAAGGGCGTTATTCATTTGAACTGATTCCCCCTCTTCCAGTGTTGTAGAACCTCTCCTTCAGTCTGTAGGGGATCTCCCTTTATTCGGTTTCCTCAGAAGAAAGTTCTGAGTTTCAACTGAAAGCGTGGATTTGCAAAGTTGCAAATTCCCAATTCCTCTTTATTCTGATATAATTTCAAGCCTCCCATTGGTGATATTTGATAAGTAGCTTTATTAGGTTTGATTCAATGTGCCATTTTAAAAAATATTTCTTGAGAAAGAGTAAAAATCTATTATATCAGCTCATCATGAGATATGCTTGATTTGAGGTTAAGTAGTCATTGAGTTCCTGTAGTCTGTACAAGCATTGAATCGGTTTATTTCTTAAATAATTAACGATGAGAATAAGGGTACAGTAAGTCCTGTGTAATCTGAATTTCCCCAGGCGTCATGAGCTTGTGAGAGCAGATTTCACATCCACACCGTAGGGTAGGTTTCCCTGGCTCGCCTCCGCCCCTCACCGAAGACGCTGGCCCCTGCGAAGCATCAGCCATGACTTCTGGGGGGCTCCCTGAGGGAGGGGTTCATTCATGAACAAGTGTGTCCCCCACTGGTTGCCACAGCAGCCTCTGTTGTGATCTCCTCCCTGGATGAGGCCCCTTTGGTTGCTGCTGCCTCACCTCCGTCCCTGCTGGGCCCTCGCCCATCCTGGGGGTGCCCGGTGCCGAGGTGCTGGACCTGCACTGTCTTCCCTTGTGCCCGAGGGGCCAGGCCTGTGCTGTGTCCAGACAGGTGGCAGAAGGCCTCGCTCCCCTGCATCACTCTGAGTCACTAAACATCTCTGCTCAGAGAGACCCTTGTGAAAAGAGCTTCATTTTCTACCCACAGCAGCCATTTCTTTTCCAACAGAGCTCAGATATAAGTCCCCAAAGCTGGGCCAAGAATCAGAACAGACCTGCCCCCTTTCCCTTACCGCTCCCCGTCATCTTTCCTGTCTGTTCTTGTAACCTTGGACTTTCGTGAAACTGAACTTATGAAAATAGATGACTCCACATCAGACGGCGGGGCGGGTCTAGATCTTAGTGATGGCAGTTTAGGCCTCAGGTGTGTGCCCAGGAGTGCAGGAAAAGCCACCTAGATGGGGAACTTGATTGTTTTGGGGAACAGAAGGCTAAGTGGCAAGCTTGTCATCTCATAGCTTGAAGGTTATTAAGATGTTTGGTGGAAAGTACTGTGAGGAGAATGAAATAGTTTTTCCTCCTTGACGGGCTTTTGCAGTAGGTCCGTCATCAGCATAAAATAGGTTTTACTCATTTGGATCAACAGACGTGGGAGATGGCTTAGTGTCTGTGGGCCTTAAGACATACCCTGAAAGTTATACTTTTATCTTTTTCACTGACTCCTTAGTCATAGCTTGTTTTTCTCTGCACTGACTCTTTCTTGAAAGTTAAATGCAGAAATGAAAGCATCTGGGTTGTTGAGATTGTGGCTGTTCCCATAGAGGCACAGTCTCCTCTGGAACTGGCTCCTGCTCACAGGGGTGACATGGGGCTCTGAGCCTTCAGCCCCACTGCTCCATCTTGGTTCAACAGCAGAGCCTTCCTCCCTAATAAGAAAGTAAGCCATTGAAACACACTTTCTTCTATCGGTGAAGCCCACAATGTGCTCCAAGCGTGTTGGAAACGGTTGCTCATATTTTCCTTGTCTCCACAGTCATGATGATACTAAGATGCTTTGATCCCCAACCAAAAGCATTTTGTGTGCAATGGGGCCCAGTGCCCTCACTGAGTCTTTGGCCATTGTATTTTCTCATGGTCACCCAGGAGAACAGAGGAGGGGGTTTGTACTATGCAGTGGTTCTGCTGCCCTTCAGTGCCCACTAGGAGTCAGAATACCTGGGATTGTATTTCAAAATTATTGAAGGAGGTCCTTGCTCTGAGAGCACATTGTATTGAGGAGGCAAACACCAACATAACTGATGTGACATACTAGAGCTTTAGTAGAGGTCTGTGAGCATAGTGGAAGGAAAGAGTAGCCCTGTCTTGGAGTAGGAAGCCTGGAGGCCTTCCTGGAGAAGGTGACACTGAAGCTGGACTTTGTAGGATGGTAAGGCATTTGTCAGGCAGGTAGAACACATTTTGGGTGAAGGTTACAGTGGGTGCAGAGGCACGGAGGCAAAGAGGGATAGCTGATCCATTAAGAGATGAGGAAGTTTGTGGAGCTTAAATTGTGAAGGCCTCACATGCTCTGCACAGGGGTTGTTCTGTAAGAAGAAAGAAGCCCTTGACAAATTTTAAGCAGGAGAGTGGACCCTGGGGGCCAGTGGGATGGATGGATTGAGAGTAGGGAGAGGATGGTCACCCTTGGCCATTAGTCCTTATTATGGCTTAGGAGGTGGCTGACTGGGAAGGGACATTTCGGAGACTGAATGCTGGCCCTCTTTGTCATTCCAGGTACCTGATCCCTTGCAATCACATGATGCTGAGTCAGAGGTGGGCTGTGAAGGAGAGAGACTGTTACTCTGTGTCTGCAGCCAAGCTGCTCGCCCTGACCCCTGTCTGCTGCTCCAGCGGGATCACCCTGACGCTTGGGAACCAAGAGAGGGATTATATTCTCTGGTCAAAGTGTACGCATGATACTTCAGGTAGGAACTTGCTGGTGATGGTCTTTAAACAAAAGGATGCCAGATTCTGTCTCTCCTTGGGTTATGTGTCTGAGAAGATGGAGAGTGAGCTCCATTTCTTTTATGAATGTCTAGTTGGGGGTCCTTTTCTGCTTCATAAGGAGTAATGGACACTGTAATCAGTGTTCATTTTCATGCCCAGCTGTCACTGATTTCATGCTCCCAGACCTTTATTTTAACTAGGATTTCTAGTGTCGTGCTCAGAATCCAAACGTGAGAATGTGTACCACACTGTCTTCTAAAAAAAATAGGGGTGAGGGATGTGTGGAGGTGGTATAGCTAAGATAGAATTAGCCCTTATTTTAATTTCAAAAATGGCCCATTTTGATGCTTGCCTGTCAATAATATATCATCATAAAGCTTGAAATTTGTGATACAGCAACAGTATCTGAGCCATTTGATTGACCTACAGGAGTTATGGTGCTCATGTGCTGTTTGCCAGCGCACCTGACCTTGTACAAGTAAAATGGAAATGGTCACCTCTGTCAGCCTTGGCTCTCTGAGGGCAGCGGGGACAAGGAGGTGTTTGTGTATCGTTGATTTACAGAGACTGTTTTAGTTCAGGAAGATTCTGCCTGTCCTGCGACCACTAGGACATGGTCGAGTCCTGGTGTTCACTTGGGTGATCGAGTCTGTATTCTCATATCCTCCAAGCAGTGTCATTCTGTTCATCTGATGTACTTCTTTAGACTGTAGGCTGCTTGACTAAGAAAATATTAGCATATTTGGTATAAATGTAACTTTTAGAAATTAAGGTTGTCTTACTGATTCTTGGTCTTTAAGGAAAGAAACAGTATATGCATGGAAATTAATAATTTTTGTGGCAGTATAATAAGATGGGTTTTAAATATATTTCCCTGTTGGTTAAACTAGTGTGGACTTCTTATATTTTCCTGCCCAGTAGTTATTTTTTAAAACATATTTGAAAACTGATGTCTTTTTTATTTATTAAAAAAGCTATTTCAAGAATGATTCTGTGCCTTACCTTGCCTCAGAATTCAAAATTCAAGTTAGACAGACAATTGTGGAGTGCCTGCAACTTCCTTTCCCTGTGTTACATTTAATTCTTTGAAAAAGGTGGTATGCCTGGTCTAGAGATGAAGAAACAAACTCAGAGAGGGATCGGCTTGTCCAAGGTTATCCAGCTGGAAGGTCCTCTGGTTCCAAATTCCGTGTTCCTTCACTGTGCTGCCTCCGGGGTTCCTTACAGCAGACAGATACTGTAATGGATGAATGGTTACACAGATGGAAGTGTAGGTAGGTAGGTAAGTAGGTGTAGGTGCAGCGGTTAAGAGCTAGGATTCTGAATCTTGGGCTCTGCTACTTTCTTGGGCAAATTACTTAACCTTTTAAACCTTTTTCCTCATATAAAGTCATACCTACCTTAAAGTGTTGTTCCAAGGATAAGTGACCTTGGACATGTAAAGCTCTTAGAAGATTTCCTGGCATGTAGTAAGTGCTAAATAAATATTGCTAGTATCGTGTGTTTTTAAATGTCTTTTTATGTAAAGTGGATAAGAGATAAACTAACCTTTTAGCAATAGAGCTGTAAAAAAATGAATTATGTCTACCTTGGTGACAGGAAAATGTGTATTTTTAAAAGTTCAGTTCTGGCCTAGTCTAGAAGAGATTTAGATAATGAAGAGACAAGAAGCTTGCAAAGGTGTGGCATTGAATGAAACAAGAACAGGGCTGACAAGAGACAGCCTGTGCTTCAGCTGTGGCTCTGCCCCAACTAGTTAGCTGGGTGATCGTTTGTCTCTGAGCCTCGACTTCTTCATCTACAAGTGGAGAAGATGCTGTGCTCCATGAAGGCTGTTGTGGGGATTAAATTAGCTAGCACTGAGAAAGCACCTGTCCCATGGGAGATGTTTAAGAAAACTGCAGAGTATGTGTTGTCCTTGTTTGAGTCCCTTTTTTTCAGTTATGCAGTTGAGAACTTGACCGTCAGAGGCAGAGTGGGAACACCTGAAGCATCCTTAGGCGACAAGGACTATTTTGGTAGTGGAGAGGCCTTTATCATAAGAGACCATGGGGTACACATCAACGTCCCAGTCGTTCCCCGGAAGGCAGAGCAAGTCAACAGGATTTTCTAAAAAGCCAGTGTTTTCTAGAGAAAACCTGTCCCCAAATTCATGGGCTATAGGCCTTCCACTTTAGAATTGAAGTAAAAGTCCTTTAAATCATTACCTGCACTGTGGCAGGTACTATATTCAATACATTACCCAGTTTAATCCTCTCAGCAACCTGGGAGGGTGCCGTTATTAGCTCTTACTTCCCTTAGGACTGCTGCCAAATCCATTTTCAGCTGGAGACAGCCAGTATCCCACTGGCCGTATTGGTTTGTATCTCCTACGAAGGTTGACTTTCTGTTACCTTCCTTCTTAAAATCTAAGCATTTTTTATCATTCAGAAATCATTTAAACCCAAAGTAGCAGGTGAGAGAAAGTCTCGGCAGCCAGAGGAGTCACATGCCCGCCCACTGCCTTTGTCCCCCACCCCTCCGAAGGGCCCGAGGGGGCTCACTCATTCCGATTTGTCCGCCTCCCTCCCGCAGGGCCCGCCGAGCAGCTCGCAGAGGCGCCCGCCCCGTCGGCCTGCATTGTGCAGTACGGCAAGGCCCTGGACATCAGCTACCTGCAGTACCTGTGGGAGGCCCACACCAACATCCTGCGCTGCATGAGGGACTGCCGCGTCTGGTCCGCCCTCTACGACGGGGATTCCCCCGACCCCGACACCTTTCTCCGGAGCCTGCCAGAGGAGAGCCCTGCCAGCTCCGCCTACCCCGGGCTCAGGCTCCCGCCGCAGCTCCCCAGCAAGACAGGGCCTCAGCCGGCTCCGAGAAAGGACAAGAGCCAGACGGAACTGGAGTGGGACGACAGCTATGACACCGGGATCTCCCCGGGGGCTGCCGTGGGCTCCCCCCGGCCTTATGATGATCTGGAGAATCCTGGCCTGCCAGCACCAATCGACCCCCCTAAACACATCCAGGAGATGAAGAGGACCGCCATCCTCCGCTTCAAAGGGTCCTACATCGAGGAGTCCGACTTCCAGGATGATGTGATGGTGTACAGGCTGTGTGCGGAGAAGGACTCTGAGGACACTGGAAAGTCACAGGAGGAGCCCGCAAGCCCCCTGGCCCAAGGCCAGACCGAGGTGCAGAGCACCCCCACGAACAACGGCCCCCTGCCCAGCCCTCAGCCAGAAACAGACTCCGAGGGGGAGCATCACAGGGACAACTCGGACATGTTTCCAGATGTGTCCGAGGAGCAGCCACAAGAGAAGGAGCCCGAGGAAACCCCAGAACCAAACTCAGAGTTAGCAACCCCCCTCTCCGAGGCAGAGCACAGTTCAGACCCGACGGCTGCTGACCCAGAGGGAGATTTCATTGCCCGGTATGACCAGATCATTAAAGACCTGGATTCTGGCAGCGAGGGCTTGATGGAACAGAACTTCTCCTCACCTGATGCCTTGCTCGTCACAAATGAGCAAGAAGGGAAGGAAGAGAGCAGAGGAGGAAGGGAGGCGGAGGAGGGGAAGGAGGACCTGGAAGAGGAGGATGACTTTGACGCTTTCATAGTGGAAGCTCCTGCCGAGGAGACCGTGCCGTCCCCGTTTGGGGTGAGAGACGAGACTGACCTTGCCAGTCACCACCCCATGAGGACTCAGAGCACCCCATTCACAGGTGACCATCTTAGCTTGCTTTGTGATTTCTGCTTTTGAAAGTACTTGTACATAGGACGGCAGGAGAGTAAGGTAGGTGGAGGGAAGGAAGGAGCATTAGCCGTTTACCTAACGGAGGGGCAAAAGTATTTTTGTAAAGAGTGGAGAGGGGGGTTTCATTTTTATTTTGTCATTCTCGCAATGATTGTTGGTTTGTGTTTTTTTACCCCCACCAGCTAGTTAGAGGTTCAATTTTACTGTTGAGTAATTTCCCTTGAAATGCCTGTGATAAAGTAATAGGACTGATGAAATGACATAAACCCAGTCTCGTTATTTAATAGACCCATTTCCTTTAGTCTAATTTATTTTTCTCCTTAGCATTTATTTCATGTGTATTTTTTATAAGTACATCCCCCCCATTAGAATGTATGCTCCATGAGGGCACAGGTGTTGGCCTGCTCTCAGCTCCATCCCCAGCACCTGCACAGTGACCAGAGCACATGGTCGCCACTCAGAATACTTGCTGTGTACACATCAGAGCCATGGGGGTTAGTTGCGCCTTTGCCTGGGAGCTCATTTCGGATAGTCACAGAATCTTCATCCAAAAATAAGTACAGTGGACCCACATAAACTCCTAATTCTACTAAAGAATGGCTGTTCCAGTGATACACCCGTCACCACGGGTAGGCATCCTGGGAGAGGCAACGCGATGAGGGTATCAGGTAAGAGGACGGGGGAGAGGGATTATGATGCAGAGCATCTTTAAATATCAGCCGGTAACATCTGAACCTGCAAATCGTGATGCAGAGGGATGGCTGGGGTGGGACCCTCCAGTGGTGTTCAGGTAGCAAGGAGAGGTCCCTAAAGGAACTGGCATCACAGAGGGACAGACAGTGGCCTTGGGGTCAGGCCTGTCAGGGGATCCTGGTTCTGCCACTTGCAGCTATGTGGCCTTGGTGTCCCTGATCACCCTCCATTCTCCCCTGTGAGGACTGAGTGTAATACTGGGGGGTCATTATTAAGGTTACCGGCAGCCCCCANGCCTGTCAGGGGATCCTGGTTCTGCCACTTGCAGCTATGTGGCCTTGGTGTCCCTGATCACCCTCCATTCTCCCCTGTGAGGACTGAGTGTAATACTGGGGGGTCATTATTAAGGTTACCGGCAGCCCTGGCAAGTAGGGGGCAGCCTGGGAGGAGAGGTCATGCTCTTGCCGCCTCGAGTCAACCAACATAAATCACGTTACCCTCTGGTCCAGCCAGATAGACTTGGCATGAGTTCAAGGAGCTCCTTCACCCTCCTCCAGTACTTATTCATCTATTTACTGATGCCTAAAATTTTATTTAATTTAAACAGGGAGAGAGCTTTTCATTTTACAATTAAAAGGCTGAGGGTTCTAGTTGAGAGAACATTTCAGTGTGAATGGGTTTTAATTAAAATTCAATCAGTCGGTCAATCATAAATAAGAAGGATTAAATGATCTCAGTTTTCCTAGTCGATAAGGGAGGAGGAGGGGAGGGAACGCCCCAGACCACTGGAGGGGCAGGAGCTCCGTGGAAGGAAAGGAACAGAAGAGACCCAGCAGGGGTCCCTATGTTGCCTGAAGCCTGCCCCCTTTACTGTCGCCCAGGGGAAATCCCCACTGTTCCCCACTGTTCTGCAGGACACCAGGGCCCCCATGGCTAGTAACCAGCCTTTCCTCAGAATGCCAGCCTTATAAAGCAGCAGCATCCCTGGGAAGTATGTAAATTGAGGAAACCAAGTATAGCTTAGGGCCAAAAAAAAAAAAAAGCTAGTACAATACCTTATTAAATAACATCAATATTTTGCTTATGATACACCTGAGAGCCAACAATACATAAAGTGAGTTTTCTGATACATGTAGGTAATTTTAACTAAAACTTACCCTTTTCTCCTTTGAAACTGGTTGGCAATGTTAGGAAACACCTTTACTCTTTCCATATAGTGAACTTTGTCGTTTCCAAACTTCTGAGTGTGCTCTGCAGCATTGGGCTTAACGTCCACCTCTGTGTGGAACCCTGGCTTCCTCTGAAAAGAATTTGTTTCTTGGCAATATCCATTTCATTTATCTAATTAACGTGATTAGCAACCTTTATTTGGCAGGTTCTATGCTAGGTACTAAAGACAAAAAAATGAAGGAGTTTGCAGACTTTTAGAGGAAACATCAACAAAGAATTTCTTAGTGAGAAGTGCACTGTCAGTCACTGTATGCCAAGTCCCATGGGACCCAGGGCAGGGCGCAGGAAAGGCTTCGCAGGGCAGGGACATGAGCAGGGAATGGAACCAGGTAAAAGTGCCTGAGAATGACGGTCCAGAGGAAACAACAGGCAGAAGACAGATGAGACTGGCCGTGCATAGGGCATGACAATGCATTGGGATGTGGGCAGAGAGGAGTGTGGGAGAGAAGCAGCCAGAGGGCTTGGTGCCTGCCAGCTCCTAGGGGCCTTTGGGCCAAGCAGGGCACTTTGTGCTGCTGGCATTGAAGATGCACTGGGAGTATTAGCGTTGGCAGGGGTGTGACTGGATCCGTGTGGAAATGCCAGCTTTGCAGCAGCATGCAGGGCACTGCAGTGGGAGACGGTTGTGCCAGGGAGGTCGAGTGAGACTTGCCATCTTGCCAGAGTTGAGAGTGCACCAAAGCTGGCTCCAGTGATCCTGTGTCTAGGAACAGTTCACAGCTGCCCTCACACGTGTGTGCTAAGGCATACATTCAGAGACGTCCACTGCAGCACTGTTTATAACGGGAAAAGGCTGGACACAACCCACTGTCTACCGGTAGGTGACTGTTTTACTAAAGCAAATCCCATGGCAATTGGGTATTTTTTGGCCCTGAGATGAATGAGACAGCTCTGTATGTGCTGATATGCACAGTCTCCAGGATATGTTGTTAAGTGGAAAAGCAAGGTGCAGAGCAGTGTGTAGAGAATGTCATTACAAGAAAATACCAGTAGACAGACAGACAAGACACACACACACACACACGCGCGCTCTCACACTCCTGGGAGGCATGGTACAGGCACTGGACAGAGATCATCTGAATTAAAATTGGGACTCTTCCATTTCCTGGCTGTGTGTACTTGGCATTTTGCCTTATCTTTAAATGGGGATAAATAATAAACATACTTCATAAGAGATGTTGTATCTAAATAAGCTAATACAAGATAAGTGCTTAGAACACTGCCTGGTACATACTAAGTGATAAATGTTTTTAAAAAAATAAATTTTTATTTAGTTATAGACATAAACATTTTTGGTGTAGAATACACTAGAATCTGTTAAGAGGACTTGCCTCCATGGCAGAGGCCTGTTGTCTATTTTATACTCCTATACTGTTTGAAGAAAAACAAAATTTTAAATCATTTCACTCTATTAAAATAGAAAACTATTGTTGAAGTCCAGATAAGAAGTGATGAGACTGTGACCTCAGGCAGTGCTGGCAGGGGAGGTGGAGGTGAAGGACGGCATTCAGGAGATATTTCCACTGTAGGATTGGCAGAGCCAAGGTACAGAATCAATAGGGTCAGGAAATATGGGTGGGGGTGCAGATGGAGGCAGGGGGAGGGGCACTTGAGGACACACAAGTGAATGATAGGGAGGGGCAGTGGAGGTCATCTTAGTTGTTCTGAAAAATCAAATATCTTATGGCTGTGGAGTTTATCTGTCCTCCTAGAAGAAGGGGGAAAGTGCACCCTCCATCCCCGGTACACACCCGTGGCTTTCTGAATTGCAGCTAGTTTCCTGATTTTCAGCTGCTTGCCAGTTTCCCCTGGCAACTGCTTTTTGCTAAGCAGTTCTTTTTTTTTTTAAGTGGTAGAAATCAACTAAGAATAAAACAGAAATTTGAAAAGGTTTAATGTATATCTCTTATTGCACATGGCTAAGAAGTTGTAATTAATGTCATTTGTGGGTTATAATGACAGTCTCTGGCCTTGACCTAATATTCTGTCATCCCAGTGAGACAGTGATGGCACTCTCCCAGGGAGTGGGCCAAACAGGCTTTTCTCTCTGCACTTACAGCAGTGATGGACTATAAATGGTGTCTCCTGGTCATTGCATGGTCGGCAACCTTCATGTGTGTAGGGTGGCCAGCTGAGGCCAAGTGCAGTCTGGGATGGTGCCAGGGAAACTGAGGGCTCACATTCAGGCCATATGTGTTACAAGAGACTCTGCCCACTTAAATATGGCTTAATACACCTGTCTGCTCCCTCTGGAAGGAAAGAGATGATGCTGAGCCTGGGACTGCAGAGGGGCAGGAGAGAGGGGATGGAGAAAGATTGGGTCCAGGGTTGAGGAGGGTGAGGACAGCCTTCTTGTGGATCTTCCTGGAAAGCTAGACTTGCACACTGTGATGCCTTACAAAGAGTTATCGGTGACAATTCTGGGGTTCTTGATGGAGCCCCATCAAGTTGCTTTCAAATTGGGGTTCCAATCCAGAGTTTCTGAATATGTTTGGCAACCTCTACCAGTGTTGTTTTTCAAGCAAGGGCTCTTCAAAGACACTCTATGCAAAGAGCTCATTGACCTGCTGGGTCATAGATTGTGACGGAGGATCTCAGACTCCCATCACAAAGATGGGAAAGTTGAGACTAAGTTCAGCATGGGGGGGGGGGG